AGTGATAATATGGATCAATTTGCATCATTCTATATGCTGATATCAATTTAGACCAGCACTATTTGTTGAAGATGTTTTCTTTTTTCCATTGTATGTTTTTTGCTCCTTTATTTAAAAATCTGGTGTCCATAGATATGTGGACTTATGTATTGGTCTTCATTGATTCCATTGATCTACGTGTCTGTTTTTATGCAAATACCATGTGGTTTATATTACTATGGCTCTGGAGTAGAGCTTGACATCAGGGATGGTGATACCTCTGGAAGTTTTTGTATTGTTCAGGATTGTTTTAGCTACTCTGAATTTTTTGTTTGTTTCCATGTGACATTGAGTATTATCCTTTCAACGTTTGTACAGAATTGTGTTGGAATTTTGATGGGTATTTCATCAAATCTGTGGATTGCTTTTGGTAGGTCATTTTCACTATGTTGATGTTATTGATCCATTAGCATGGAAGACTTTTCCATCCTCTAATGTCTTCTTTGCATTCTTTTTTCAAAGACTTGAAGTTTTTATCATACAAGTCTTGTCCTTGCTTGGTTAGAGTTACCCCAAGACATTTTATGTTATTTGTGGCTGTTGCAAAGGATGTTGTTTCCCTGATTTCTTTCTCAGTCCATTTGCCATTTGTATGCAGGAAGGCTGCTGATTTTTTTTTTTTAGTTAATCTTGGTCCAGCTATTTCACTAAAGATGCTTATCAGCTGTACGAGTTCCCTCAGAGTTTTTGAGGCTGCTTATGTATACTATTACACCATCTGTAAATAGCAACACTTTGACTTCTTTTTTTTTTTTAAGTTCGATTCTCCTTGATCTTCTCCAATTGTCTTATTGCTCTAGCTAGGACTTCAAGTATTATATTGAATAGATATAGAGTGGGAAGTCTCATCTTTTTTTCTGACTTTAGTGGGATTGCTTTGAGTTTCTCTCCATTTAATTTGATGTTGGCGATTGGCTTGCTGTAAATTGTCCTTATTATGTTAAGGTATGTTTCTTGTATCCCTACTCTGTTCAAGACTTTTTATCATGAAGGGCTATTGAATTTTTGTCAAAGTCTTTTTTGGCTTCCAATGAGATGATCACGTCAGTTTTATCCTTCAGTTTATTTATATTGTGGATTTGGGGAATAAATGTTAAGAATTAAAACATCATCTTGGTGAATTTTTCCTTTGATGAGAATAAAGTATCCTTCTTCATCCTTCTTGATTAATTTTTGTTTGAAGGCTATTTTGTTACATATTAAAATGGCTACACCAGCTTGTTTCTTAGGTCTATTTGCTTAAAAAAACCTGTTCCAACCATTTATTTTGAGGTAATGTCTATTTTGATGTTGACGTATGTTTCTTGTATGCAGAAGGATGGATCCTGTTTTCACACCCATTCTGTTAGTCTGTGTCTTAGTATTGGGGAATTGAGTCCATTAATATTGAAAATGTACTAGGAGTGGTATAGCTGGATCTTTTTGCTTTTTAAAAATATACTTATTTTTATTAATTACAGTTTATTTACTCTGTATCCCAGCTGTAACCCTCTCCCTCAGCCCCTCCCAATCCCACCTTCCCTCCCTCATCTTCTCCCATGCCCCTCCCCAAGTCCACTGATAGGGAAGGTCCTCTTCCCCTTCCCTCTGACCCTAGTCTATCAGGTCTCATCAGGACTTGCTGCATTGTCTTCCTCTGTGGCCTGGTAAGGCTGCTCCCCACTCAGTGGGAGGTGATCCAAGAGCCAGCCACTGACTTTATGTCAGAGACAACCCCAATTCTCATTATTAGGGAACCCAGTTGGAGACTGAGCTGCCATGAGCTATATCTGTGCAGGAGTTCTAGTTATCTCCATGCATGGTCCTTGGTTGGAGTATCAGTCTCAGAAAAGACCCTTGTGGCCAGATTTGTTGGTTCTGTTGCTTTTCTTGTGGAGCTCCAGCCCCCTCCAGATCTTTCTATCGCCCCCTTCTTTCATAAGATTCCCTGCACTCTGCTCAAAGTTTGCCTATGAGTCTGAGTGGAGTCTTTCAGAGGCCCTCTGTGGTAGGTTCCTGTCCTGTTCCCTGTTTTCTCCCTCTTCCGATGTCTGTCCCATTTGCCTTTCTGAATGAGGTTTGGCTATCTTACCCAGGGTCCTCCTTCTTGCTAAACTTTTTTCGGTGTACTAATTTTAGTAAGTTTATCCTATAGTATTGCTGGATCTTGGGATAGCACTATTCCTAATTTTCTGAGAAAGCACTAGGGGCTGTCTCTGACATGAACTCAGTGCCCAGCTCTTTGATCGCCTCTCCCGGGGGGTGGGGGTGGTTCAGCCTTGCCAGGCCACAGGAGAAGATGATGCAGCTAGACTTGATGAGACCTGATAAGCTAGGGTCAGACAAAAGGGGAGGAGGTCCTTTTCTATCAGGGGACTAGGGAAAGGGCATAGGGGGAGAAGAGGGAGAGTGGGTGAAATTGGTAGGAGATGAAGGACGGGGCTGCAGCTGGGATACAAAGTGAATATTTAATAAATATAAAAAAATAAATAAATATAAAAATAAAATTAAATTAAAAAAATTGAAAATATCAATGACTCATGACTGCTAATAACCTGTGTCTTTGCTGATGTTATTGGTGGTGGTGGTGTGTGTGTGTGTGTGTGTGTGTGTGTGTGTGTGTGTGTGTGTGTG